ACTCTTTAGAACCAGTTACCCCCGGAGATCCGGACCATACCCACTCTCATGGCCTTCAGGAAAGCTGTAAAAATGTGGCTGTTCCGGCAGGCCTGGGGCTGTTGACCTCACTGTTGAGGTCCAGCCCTGATTAGAATGAATGTATGAGGGTGTTGCTATTTTAAACCGTTTTTTTTTTTCGTTATGTGTCTTTTTCCCCCCTCTTTTTTGTAAGCCACCCGGAGTCCTTTGGGATTGGGCGGCATATAAATTTTATAAATAAATAAAATAAATTTTTGCAAAAGCTGCCGCTGTCATTTGAACTCTTCCTTCATCAGATGCATAGATTTTGAGATCATGCCGATAGGTACTATGCAATCTAAGTAGACCACATCCTGGAAATCCTGCATAATCACCTACCAAAGAAAAAGACTGAAGTTTCTCGTTTGTTTCTGTAGATCTTCTCTTTTCATAGATATGGCTTCCAGCTATTACAAAAATTTATTTTATTTATTTATAAAATTTATATGCCGCCCAATCCTGAAGGACTCCGGGAGGCTTACAAAAAAGAGGGGGGAAAAAGACACATAACGAGAAAAAAAAATGGTTTAAAATAATAAATAAGATACCTTGTCCACCAGGATACATACATCGGAATGCTCTTCCTAGTTCCTCTGCCTGAACTCTACCTGCAGGTGTCAATTCTCCTCCCCATTTGAGAACTAAGAGTAGAGATGGCTCTTGTTTGTGGTTATCTAAATACATACAAGGCAGGTAAAAATATTTTTTTTAACTTATGTTCAAAAGTCAAGATGAAACCAATGTTATTTTTCTACAAGGACAATCCAAAGAATATTGTTGCTAATTCTGTATGTTGTAGTGAACTGAATTTGATTTTGAAACAGCAGTACTTTAAGGTATATGGCAAATTATTCTGAAATAAAGGAATGAAGGGATGTTATCTGATGCATGCAGAAATAAGTAAAAAGCAATACTGAAAATCCTATATAGGATATATATTATAAACTGAATTAATGTATTGATATTAATCAATTCAATAAACCTATTGATCAATTCAAGAATAATCAGATCGACCTTAGCTCTGTTGACCTTTCACAAAGTTCTAACGGCATAACTGTGTTCCTAGAATTAAATAAATAAACTAATTAATGCAAATTAGTTTCTAAAAATAATCAAAATACCTTCTTCTTCACTAGATGTTTTAGGACAACCATGAGGAAGATACGTCAGTTGTACTTTGCGATTTATGCCAGAAAAATGTCCATACCTAAAAACAGCAGTGAAGATATTAAAAATCACACAATACTGGTAAAAGAAATACAACAGATCAGATGAACTGATAAAATATTGCAATACACCAGATTTTGGAAATATCATGATTACTCCAAAAGAAAGGCTACCGTGAAATGAAATTAAGAGGTTGACCCTGATCCTTTAAAGGATCCACAACATTTGCAGCCTAGCGGCCCAGATGAGGGTAGAAAAGGGCAACTGGGCTGTATAAGTGGAGGGCCAGCACACACGTGTTTACACAGCTCTGCTTGCACGAGTGGAGTTAAGCTGCTTACTCACTCATGAGAGTGGAGCTGCACACACACATGCATGCCGGTCCACCTCTCGTGTGGCCCAGTTCTGAATATGCCACGGCCCAAAGGTGAGAACCCCTGCTTTAAAGGAACACCAGAACAAAAAAATAATAATAATTCTGTTTTCTTTATCATTGTTTCAGTCAATCTAATGCAACCAACTTCCTTTCAGACAAATAAAGCAACAGTCAGAATTAGGTTTAAATTAGCAACTGACCTGACAAAGTAAATTAAGACTAGTTCCAAAGTTACAGATGTATCTATGAAGAAGATCAGGTAATCTTTACATAGTTGTCTTAAAAGGTATTTTTTATTATATCAAAAAACTTGAAATAAAATACTTACATCTCCAACACAGTCTTTAACTGTTCAAGTTTAGATTTGTTTTCTTCAATTTCAGAGTCATTATTCTGTCCAAGTTCGATTAAGAGCTGTCTTGCAATATCAAGTACTTCCTAAAAACAGTGGTAATACAAGCAAGTTCATGAAAATGGATAATTATGCTAATACATAGAAAAGAATTTTTTTTTAAAAAAAAGAAACCTTACCTGTAGTTGCCTAGGCTTC